TCTCTCTCTCTCTCTTATTTCCATTGAAATTGCTTCTCAGGGCCGCTTGAACTCTCAATGACACTGAAACCCAAATTATGTGACATTTACACCCCTCATCGGTTTTGCATAGCAAATTAGGGGTTATATATCATAGAAAACAGTTTTACAATAAAAGAATGACTTTAAAAATGCATGAATGACATGAATTAAAAAAAAATAAAAGTTTGAAAAATGATTAGTAAGAATAATTGCTTTCACTCAAATGATACATGTATTTTATATTTAAAAAAATCTTTTATTTTTCAATTATTTATGTTTTTGAAACCATATTACATGTGTATACGTACAAAGATCGAGTCGTTGGCACTTTGAAATCTCTGGATCCGCTCATGAAATCAATGCTAATGGGTGGTAATGTAGAAATAAACCAAAATAAGTGTTTTAATTATCATCTTTGGTGAATTTCAAGCATCCGAGTACAGGATTATCAAAGGAAATTTTCTTCTCAGAGGGTTGGAGAGGTATGTAAAACAAAAAATCAACACTAAATTTTTTGCATATTATTCTTTGATTTTTATGTAAAAAATCAATATTACATGCTCCAATAAATACCTGTGTGCAAAAATTGCGATAATCATCAATACTTTTAAAAATTAGCAGAATAATTCAATGGATATTAAGCATTCCTGCAATCAAGTTTTGTTTAAATTCACTGCTTATTTCGATTTAAAAGAATTTCTCTGCTTGATTGAGGGTAGAAATTACTTATAAGCAGACCATGCTCTCAAAAAATTAAACACGAGTAATTTATCCTTGCATAGTATTATCACCGAGCAAAATTAACATTTTTATAATCAAAATAACTTTTCAATATTTTGTACTAAATTCGGACGTTTATCTGTGAAATTGTTTATCTGATTTTAATATGTGCTTATTTGTAGTAAATTGTGTCTTATTTATCTCATTCCCTTTGAATTAGGATTAAGACATTCCAATTGACACTCTGTGACTCTGTCAAAATAACTGTTACTCGTTAGGTGTTAATATTAATGCCTCGGGATTCGTTAATCCTGTATCAATAACTTTATTTGTACAATTTCTTTATAACCTCTTTCATGTCAATTCTTTCAAAGAAACACACCTGTCCATCAATTAACTTAACTAGTGTCAAAAATCAATTATTGTTTTGTTATTTACCATCTTCTTTAATAAACTCGGAAACCTGATTTACCAATTCTTGGACTTTATTTTGGAAGACCATAAGGAATACGGCACCTTTACCCTAAGTTTACGTTTTATTACGTTTTACTACGGCCCCACAGCGCCACTACTTCGTTATACCCGCCAACATTCCTTCTTAATTCCCCGTTTACATTCAACAACGGATTTAGTCCAGGAATTACTTATTCAACTTATGACCAAAATCCAACTGGTTATAGTATATCTTTTCTGATTCTCATATCTGATATCATTTCTGATGCGCTATATTACCTGTGGAAAATAATTCATTTGTAGATATTGCAAACATAATTTCATTGAAAAAACCGTTTATACTGGCATTCTTTCTTCCTTTATTTCTTACCACACAAACATATGAATATTTACATGTACATTTCATTAAAAAATAATATTTGAAGTTTTAGCACAATTTCGTTGAAATATGTCACGATAAAATATTTTTGTCTTTGTAACTGAAGCAATAAAACGTTTGAAATCATTTTGTCACCTTCAAGTGTTGGCCCAAAGTCATGGGCTCAATCGCTATTCAAGTTTCAAACATCTGGTACTCCAATCACCTCCCTTCCCCCGCATATCTTTGTACACGTTTTTGTTTTAAGTATTTCTTCGAAGGCTCGGATTAGGCAGTGAGGTATATAATTCTATTTGTTTTCTCTATGATAATTCTTTGGAATTTAGTGGAGTTGAATTCTTGATATTTCTACCGGAAAGTAAATTAGGCAAACCGATAAGTCAGGAGCTAAGGAGACCAGTCCTATAATTAGGCATGTAAATCCCAAGCGGCTGTTTTGGTTTTTGTCAGTGGGCGGGGATTAATAAAATTAAATCTTTTAGTCTACATTTTTTAAGATATAAAATTATAATTTTATTTTACAATGAAATGGTAATAAAAGGAATCACTGTCTAGTTAGTATAGTACATGTATGCCAGCGAGATCAACGATAGTGGGAAATGGGGAAGATGCATAACGTGCTTCTAGGCAGTGATTCCTTAAATGACACCTTATAAGGCGAAGGAATACATGTACCTTAACTTAACTTATTGGTCCAGGGTAAAGGTAAGATAGCATGTGTGAGTCTGAGATGATACCCAAACTGCCCCATTTTTTTTAAAAAACTAGATGCAAATTACTAGATTAATTATTTTATTTCATAAAAACACACACATTTTATAACAAAGCGCTACATGTCCTTGTAAGTCACCGATAACTTAAAAGAAAAAGAAATACATGGCATTCTAATGTCCTCATGTAAATGTACAAAATAGGTTAAAATAAATATAATTCCGGTAGCATAAACACTCTTAAACCTTATTGTTTATTAATAAAGGTTTTCTTCCTGGGACGTAAATATCGAAATCGTAAATAAAACAGGGAAACGTCAAATATTTCGAACTAACTAAATGCAAAAAGTAACGTAAGAAATAACTTATAACAAACAAAACAAGAAAACATTGAAGTAACCATCAATATTGCCGCCTGGGAAATATATAAAGTAAACGATGGAAATAAGTCTTGATCATCAAACTGCTTCGATATGTATGAAAAAGACAAACGATAGTCGAGAATATTTTGAAAATTTATAGTCGGATGAAAATCGGACAAAAACGATACCCTTTCAATCTTCATCAATTCAGCAAGTAGGCCTAAATGTTGGCTGCATACAATATTAATTGAAATCAGACACATGCATCATCTACATTTGTAAATTCAAAAATGAATTTCACTTTAAGAATATAAAACAGGAACTTTGTAAAGTACGTTTTCATTGGATAAGCAAAATCGATGTTCTAAAAAAGGGATCTGTCGTTTTTTCGATAGTAAATGATAAGCAACTTTTTATATTAGATATGTAAAGCATATTAGATATTTTTTACAGACTCACTTTATAGAAGTAAATATATTGTATATCTCGTTATTTATAAAGGGATAGAACATTCTGATTAACAATCTGTTCAATGTTTAGAAAACCTTTAATTTTTGAATAACTTTCCCTACCTCAATCCCCATACACTAGCACTTAAACTTATATGTATAGAGCAACCCTGTCCTCCTATGACAGATGTATATACATTATTCCTGTTACCATGTGTTGTGAATTCCAATTCAATAAAGGAAATGTATCAATAATTGTTTGATATTGCCAGGTAACACTTCTAAAATCTAATTTTATGTCGGATTGGTCTCTTACATAATAAGGAAGATTCCAAAAATATATTTCTATGATGACAGTGATATTCTTTTCCAGAATCATCAAGAATCGTAACTAATAAAATAAGATCAATACATATACAAACATTGTAGATCAGTAGTGGATAAAAATTGCTTAGAGTAAAAACACAAATGGAGTGTCTTGCATTTACACAAATAAACGAATAAATAATAAATTAAAAAATAATCAAGAAACTATAAAGAAAAAAGCTTATGATATGTAAAATATTACTTCAAGTCTACTCATTTTGATTAATTCAAGTAAATCATACAGATTTAGGTATAATTTTACATTTCACTAATACTGAGGTGATTATGTATGTAGTGAACTTAATTGTTTGCAAATACAATATATCATTTAGTGTACATGTATGTAACATTGATTTACGTCTAGTTAACAACTTGTTATCCCATAAATTCAGAGTGAATTGTACATGTATACGATCCGAAATAAATACTCGTACTTGTAAGTCATAATAAAAAAAAAAGAAATCGTTCTAAAATTTATGCCTTTCATAGTCGTTTTTCGGTTTTGTTGTTTTGTTTAATCAGTGCCTTCTATCATTCTAATTGCTAATTCAAAACTTTATATACAGAGCTATCAAACAACATCCTTGATAAAATGAATTATTTCCATGCTGACCAAGACGAAGCGGAAAGAGAGGACGACACTCAATTAGTTTGATTAGAGTAGCATAAGAAAAGAAAAACTGCATTTTGTTTAAACTAAAAATATTTCAAGTTATTCTTTTTTGTTTTATAAAGAGGTTTCGTTTTTTCACGCTATTCTGGGTGGTTTTTATAATGTAAAAATAAATAGTATTAATTTTACTTTTACAAAATTACATAGCCGTTTCCCTGAAATGGTTGAATGGACAAGTGACGATGCATCGTTTTTAAATTTTGTATGAAGTGAATCCAGAGAAAAAAAAATCACCTGAAAAAAATTGACAAAAATATTAAGGAGACGGGTGTGTGTGTGCCAAAACTAGATCGAACATCCCATTTGGTGGTGCCAGTGGTGGTGGTGGTAGGGGATTCCAACTTCTTTCAACACCAAATTTTCTTCAAGCAATACTACATTTTATTTATATCACTTCACTGTAACCAAAAGTGGATGGGCAAACCAGCCTTTCAGTGAAGATTTTCTGTAGCAAAAAGTTATGTTTGGAAATGTTGGGCGGGGGGGGGGGGGGGGGCTCAGCCCCCTGATGCTACGTGTCTGTGTACACAACTACAATCACGTTGATAAAGGGCAATTATATTGCGCCACTTAATTACATATTCATAATCAAGATCATAATTCAAACATAGCTTTACAAATTCAATGAAATACGAAGATAATGAGAAGTATATGAAAAGTTCATTGAGACAATACAAAAGTTTTCAACTTGTTTCGGGCAGTTGCTTTATAGACGTATACATAAACTGTCTTCGTGAAGAAGGCAACATCCTTAAATGTATACTGATCTGTAAATTTTACACATCACTGGTGTTTAATGCATCTAGGTACAGCGTTATAGATATATTTCTTTACAATTAAAAAACGGACCAGTGCATAGTAAGTGTTTGCATCTTTAAGGACAGTCACTTACTGATAAGGTCATAAAATATCCATTTTGGATATTTTTTGAAAAAATATGCAGCGCCCATCGCATATGTGGAACCAATATGCACAGGAATGACAACAGTTACTGCTTGGGTTAATTCCTTAAACCACTCTTTTTCAGCCTCATGCAGAAACAATTTCATTTGAGAAAAGCTACCAGTCATTACCACACAACGTACCTCTTTCAAGTCATTTCTGTGGCGCCGGATGATATCCCGAGTACTCTCTTTAACATGAGTAAAAAATGTTTTCAAAAAGGACCATTTGAAAACTATGCTACAATCACTTTCATTCATTTCCAGTTCTTCTATTTTTTTCAGTCGGTCCTTCAGAGAAACCATTTTAGATTGATCTTCTTTAAATGGTTTGAATAATTTTGAAGACAATTTAAATGCATATTTTTCATTGTCGTCTAAGTTTTCGCACATTTTATTTTTCTGATCTTCAAACTGCCAAAGTAGAGAAATGTACTCCCAGTTATATGTGTCTTTCCATTCCTTGAACAAAGCTTCTGTGAACAAGTCTTTCAGGAGGTTTACAAATTGCACCTCTGGTGTTCTCTTTTTCCATGGTTGTCTGTATGGCTGACCTATAATCTCGTCTGGCCTCTTTGGATCCGTGGCACTTAGAAATGTTAGGTTGCAGTACTCTAATTTATATAAAACAGTTATATCATAAAAGCAGCCATGTCATAATGCAGTTCTCTAGTTTATATAAAACAAGTGCTATCATTTAAACATCCATGTCATCTTCAATACAAGCAATATGTTTTCATTTATTTGCAGACTTAGATAATATTGATAATATTGAAACAATTCCTCTGTTATTTGAAACTTTGACAGTATTTAAAATCTATTTCAGAAAGGAAATTAGTTGTAAAATGTCTTAAGTACGACTCCGTGTAAAAATCATGCAGACAGTACAGAAAAGGTGATTAATCGATAATCTTCGAATTCAATAAAATTGGGTTTAATATATTCATTTGGGTCTAAAATGAATATAAACAGTTGATTTTGTTATAATTCTTCTTTTTTCATATAGCCAGGGATAAAGTACTTGAGGTGTAATTTTGTACAGATAGTGTGCAAATAATACCTATTTCACGAAAGAATATCTTTAAAACCCAAGAAGATGTACAAAAACTTAATACATAATTAAAGTGAAATGGGAAGGCTTAATAAAAATTTAATTTAATATTTTTGTGCAAACGAAGTATTGAAAAGATACAAGGTGTTTAAAATCGAGAATTTGTTAAGATTCTTCAAATGAGTTATCTCCCTTTACAGGTTTACAAAGGTGGCGCTAGTTAAAAAAAATGGCAGCCTCAATGGTTAGCTGTACGCTGCAAAGTTATTTTGATGCATCCTGTGATGTTTATTGCAAAAAAATGTGTGAAGTAACTTAAATTGGTTGAAAGGATTCTACAAGAACAGATTAGGAATACTTTTCGGGGCGAAAATATAGCCATGAGTCGTGTTGATCAGTATATTGACCATGTTGACGTTCTTCCGAAATGGTACTCGCTTACTGACACCATTGTGATCTATCTCAGAAGTTAAACTTTTACGGTAATCCACCAGAGTGCAAGAATAAACTCTCAGAGAGGGGTGACAAGCCGATTTTCTTGATTATACCCGCACTTTCTAAAGAAAGTTCGGGTATATTGTTGTTACTCATGCCTGTCCGTCCGTCCGTCTGTCACACTTTTCTTCCCTGAACTCCTCCTACATTTTTCACAGTAGCTTAATCATATTTTGGGAGATGGTTGGGGGTGTCATATAGATGTGCAGGAAGGCTTCGGAATTTTGATTTTGCCCCAGGGGATCAAATGGGGGTCGAAAAATGACGTTTTTTATGCTAAAAGCCCCGTCTTCCTTGAACTCCTTTTACATTTTACTCAGCAGCCTAATCATCTTTAGGGAGATGCTTGGTGGTGTCATTTATATGTGCAGTAAGGTTTTGGAATTTTGATTTTGCCCTAGGCGAACAAATAGGGGGTCGAAAAATGACGTTTTTTATGCAAATAGCCCCGTCTTCCCTGAACTCCTCTTACATTTTACTCAGGGGCCTAATCATCTTTTGGGAGATGGTTGGTGGTGTCATGTAGATGTGCAGTAAGGTTTCAGAATTTTGATTTTGCCCCGGGGGATCAATTGGGGGTCAAAAAATGTCATTTTTTATGCTACAAGCCCCGTCTTCCCTTAACTTCTTCTTTATTTTACTCAGCAGCATAATTATCTACTGGGAGATGGTTGGTGGTGTCATGTAGATGTGCAGTAAGGTTTCTGTATTTTGATTTTGCCCCGGGGGGTCATATGGGGGTAAAAAATTGATGTTTTTTTATGTAAAAAGCACCGTCTTCCCTGGACTCCTTAGTTTGACTAAGTAGCCTAATCATCTTTTAAGAGATGTTTGGTGGTGTCATGTAGATGAGGTGTTGTAAGGTTTTGGAATTTTGATTTTGCCCCAGGAGGTCAAATGGGGGTCAAAAAATGATGTTTTTTATGCAAAAGCACCTTCTTCCCTGAACTCCTTCTACAAATTTTACACAGCAGCCTAATCGTCTTTTGAAAAATGGTTTGTGGTTTCATGTAGATGTGCAGTAAGGTTTCGGAATTTTGATTTTGCCCCAGGTGATCAAATGGGGGTCGAAAAATGATGTTTTTTATGCTAAAAGCACCATCTTCCCTGAGCTCCTTCTACATTTTACACAGAAGCTTGATCATTTTTTGGGAGTAGGTTGGTGGTGTCATGTAGATGTGTAGTAAGGTTTCGGAATTTTGATTTTGCCCTGGGAGGTCAAATGAGGGTCAAAAATGGATGTTTTTTATGCAAAAAGCCCCGTCTTCCCTAAACTCCTCTTACATTTTACTCTGACAGTAGCTTAATCATCTTTTAAGAGATGGTTGGTGGTGTCATGTAGATGTGCAGTAAGGTTTCAGAATTTGCATTTTGCCCCGGGGGTGTCAAATCGGGGTAGAATTTTTATTTTTTTTTTATTTTTATACATATATTTGATATGTTTAATCACCCTGCTTTCAAGGACCTCCCTAATATCTTATGCTGCAATAGCTTTAAACCATGATCATTTAGAAAATGATTGGTTTGTTTTGCGTATGTGTAAAATGGTTTCAAAATTTGAATTTTCATGTGGATGGCAAAAGGGGCAGGAAAAATATGGCCCCTCCCAAACCCTGGGGGGTCATGATTTGTACAAACTTGTATCTACACCTCTCGAGAATATTTCCATATTAATTTATCATGCTCTTGGTGTTCTTGAAAAGGAGAATTTTGAAGATGTAATTCCTTTTATTCCTAAATAAAACTTTGATCCCTAATTGTGGCCTGACCCTAGCCTGAGGTGATGATTTGAAAAACTAGAAATATGTCTATTGGACATGAATGTCCCGCCAGATGTGTATTACTAATGGTACATGAAAATTTGTATTAGTGTATAAAGTTTGATGAAAATATCTTGAAAATTGTTTTCAGAATTGAACCTAAAATATAAATAAATTGGATATACATGTAGATAATAAATTTTCATCAAATTATGTATAAGTGCATGCTAAACATAAAAATGTCTTAAATTATTTCTTTAAAACTAAGCAAAATACAAATTAAAGAGGAGGGAGGTCAAGGTCACAGGAATGTGCAAGATGAAGTTTTTGATGCAGATGAAAAGCTCTCACTAATACATATCAGCATATTATGTTTGATAAAAATATCTTCAATGATTTAATGAAACTGAGCTTAACACTTTGTTTTAAGAAAAGAGAGGTCAAAGGAAAGGTTGGCGTCAAAATGTTGTTCTAGCTGAAAAGCTTACATCAGTGTGAATTTACTATTAGCATATGAAGTTTGATAAAAATATAATTAATGGTTTATTTAAAACTTAGATAAACACATATTTTAAAAGTGAGGTCAAGATCAAAAGAAAATTCAAGGTCAAAATAAGTTAATGCAATAATAGCTCTCATCAGTATGTATTAGGATAACTATGAAGTTTGATTAAATATATCTTGAATTGTTTATTCAAAACTGATCTAGTCTAAGACATTAATTTTAGAAAAGTGAGGTCAAGGTCACAGGAAATGTCAAGGTAAAAAAAGAGTGAAGCATTGTAAAGCTTACATCAGTACATGTCATCATGTGAAGTTTCATTACACAACTTGAATTATTATGGTGTCTTTAAAATAAGGCTAAACACTAATTTTAAGAAAAGTTAAGTGAAGGTCAAAGAAAAGTCTAGGTGAAAAAATATTGCTGCAGTTGGATAGTTTACATCAGTAAATGCATCAACATGAACTTTGATAAAGAATATCTAGAAAGTTTCTTTGAGCTCGATGGAAAGACAGATGGAAGGATGAGGGACGGACATGACAAAAACTTATACATGTATTCCTAATCATGGCGTAGCATAAAAAACTTGAATCTACATTATATGAGGATGTTTCCATATCAAGATTATACGAGCAAATTCAAAGAATTGTGGTCCTCTGCTTTCTGTGTTTAAGTGAATGGGATGCCATAATTTATGGCAGATTGTGTGTCAAATATGCACCCCTATCATATGTCACTTTATGAAAATTAGGTCAAAGGGGGGAAATCATCGCATGCTCGAAATATTTTGTTGCAGGTAAAGTACATGTCAAATATGAAAGTCCCATCTCTTTTCAATCAAAAGTTATATATACCGGTACATAAATATATAATATAATATTTTTGAAAAGTAAGTTAAACTTCTAGGTCAAGATCACAGAGTCAAAAGTCATGATATATTTAGAAAAGTCTTTTCACATGTACTATACATATATAATTTAAATGCCATATCTTTTCTCTTTCAAAATGATTAATTTAAAATGCTCTTTTTTGGAAAGTAGGTAAAATTTTAAGGTCAAGATCTCACTTGGGTTGAAAAATTATAGTACATTTAGAAAGTTTTGTGGTAATGTACATGTGAAATATGAAAGCCCTATCTCTTATTATTCAAAAGTTTTGACCAAGGTTAAATTTATTGTGACAGATGCCCATACTGTCAAAGATGGCCAGACTGACAGACAAATAAGATTTAATGTTCCCTCCCTTTGCCCCAAAATGGGGGACAATAATGCCCTTGCTGTTCTTGAGAAGAAGATTTATGATGAAAAAAATCCCCTGCATATTTCTTAACGCAAATCAAATAGTGTTTTTATGTCATTTAATTGTTTGTTTGTTGTTAAACATCCCTCTCATGAATTTTTCACTCAAATGGAGACACCATCACTTGAAAAATAATGGGAAAAAAGTCAGATTTGAGGTCAACATTCATTTTAGGAGTTTTCAACCATGAAGACGTAAAGAGACAGGAACTCGATCCTTCCCCTCACCCCATCCCAGACCCCTGTTTATTCATGACATGTATGCAAACTACTACTTGTCTTTACATTAAAAAAAAATGTTAATAGCCTACATACAAATACTTTTATGTGGTCATTCTCTTTGAATGATTTTCATTCCTAATTCTAGGAGGATAGGTTGATGAATAAAATGTCAAGCAATCTTATCATTGATGCACTTTTATTTAATTTAATGCAGTCATATTGTGAACATTTCCAGTTAGAATCATTAAGAGTGGGGATGACCTCCAGGGGGTTGAAAACCTTCATA